GCTGTGATGAGCAAGCTTTTAAGGCACGTGCTGAGCCCTAAGAAGTAGTTAAGTCAACCTGAACACTTCGTTTTGCGTTTGCGCGAAAAGGCTGTGCAGACCTGTGCTAAGTGCGGACTGCCTGGACAAGATCCCTGCAAGGAACCAAGTTCTGATAGTCGGTGACATGAATGTTCAGCTTCCCAAAACCGCTGGTGTTACTGGCACTGCTGTTTCCAAACAGGCTTATCGAGATGGCAGAGACGAGGCAGAGTTAATCTCCATCCTTCGGCAACATGGGATGATTGCTATCAACACCTTTCATGATAAGCATCGCTTTACGTACAGTCATGCAGGGGTCAATTCGCAGCTGGACTATGTCTTTGCAAAAGGATGCCAGACCACAGGCCTCTCCAAGCAGGCGCACGGTTTACATGATTTTCCTTTATTGGCTGCGAGGGGCGAAGGCTCACATGTTCCCATCTTTGCTCAGCTACCGAAACATTGGAGGATCTGGAAATATGGTGCTGGCATGGCGCGCAGCCATGGCAGCAAGGCGGTCAGCCAGTATCTTTTGCAACATCAGCAGGATTTGATGACTCATGTTCAGCAGGCATTGCCGCAGCCGGTGACCAGTATGATGCAGATTGATCAGGCACTGCTGGAGGCACAGCAGGCTGCTACGGCCTCGATGCCCATCACGAATTACTCCGCATCTAAACCATGGCAGGATGAGGAGCTCCGTGGGGTGCTGAGCAGAGCTTGGAAGCATCTCCGGCAGGCCCGCACTAACAGAACCAAAACTCTTGGGTCGCTCTTCGGTGCGTGGAGGCATGTGGCGCAGTTCCTCCGGCTGATACAGACAACGCGCAAGGCCTGTCGACGCCTCAGGAGACAGAAGCTGCTAGACGTCTTGAATACGGTGCAATCTGAAGCCCACAAGCAGGACATGTGTGGAGTTTTCAAGATAGTCGACCGGATCGCTCCAAAACGGAACCGGACTAGACCGCAGTTCAGGAGCCAAAGTGGGACAGTCATGGACGTCAGTGAGGAGGACAATGTCAACGCTGGTTTCTTACGCCAGCTCTATGCGAGTTCTGAGACTGATTGCGTTGTCCCGCCTCCGGTTCTTCAGTGTCCTCTTACCCGGCAGGAAGTTCTCACGAGTTTGGAGGCCATTCCTTGCAATAAGGCGGGGCCGTCGCATATTGCGCCTTACGTGATGTATCGGGTTGGAGCCAGGGTCCTTGCCCCCATCATT